AATGGTGACCCAAGTTGGGAACATGACTGACTACAATATTTCTCACAGTCATGTCAGTGCATATGACATCTATCAGAGTGCCACTATTTCCTATGAAATGTGTTGCAGTGTTTACTACTTGACTCATATTAGTGTAATGAAGGAACTGTTGCAGCTTTGTAGTGTTTGCACAGCATCCATCCAACATGTTAATATTGAAGTCGCCTAGAAGAATTATGTGGTCAAACGGAGCCAGTGCACCTATGCTGTCAGTCAGACCATCCAATAACTTGTCAGTAAACATCCAAGGGGGTCGGTAGGCTGTACCGACCAGAACCTTTTTTCCGGCTATGCTTAATGAGAGCCAATACTGCTCCACCTCACTGACAATGAGTATAGGATGACTTCTGGTTTGTACCTTAACCCCATTTTTATGTAGAATCCCACCCCTCCACCACGACCACCTCGAACAGAATTAGGTGTCGGAGTGTGCCTCAATCTATAGCCCGGTACTGAGGGTGCTCTCCCCTCCTCACCTGGCCTCAACCAGGTCTCATTAATGGCCATGATATCAACTGAGTGTAGACTCATTGCAATCAAAAATTCATCATGCCTAGTTCCCAGTGACCCTGCGTTAAATAAATAAACCTTAACAATTTGTTCTGGATCATTTTTATTTATTATATTTTTCCAAATAAGTAAACCATATTACTAACAAATTATCAATATATCTTAGTAATTGCCGAATGCAGGTGGTCATCATGTAAACCATAAAATGAGTTAAATTAAAATCTATATCCAAAAATATATTTAATTTAATTTGTTCATTGGTGAAGTTAAGTAAGCGTACAACCCTCATCAAAAACACAACATTAGAGTTAAGGAGATCACAACAACACACTGTAAAAAAGTTATTCCATTTTAATTTCTTAAGATATGTACAATGTATACACTTCACACTATTAGTTATAAGGAAATGCCTGTTATTTTTACCTACTAATAATAATAATACCTTTATGTAAATAGTTTTGTAAATATTTGTATGTAGGAGTTTTATAAAATTTATTCTGTAAACAGTTGTGTATAGATTTGGCTTAAACATGTTTGCAATCAAATGTTTCTTGTAAATAGTCACATGTGAATATGTATTTTGTTTTATAATAAAAGTATTTGTAATCTTATGTTCCTTATAAATAGTCACATGTGAATGTGTACTCTGCTCCCCACCTTCAATGATATAGACAACATAAAGGACCATTGTTAACACTGATTTAATTATTGGAAACTGATCTTCACACAATGCAGCCATGATACATTTGTATAGCATGTGAAAAGGCAGTCGGCATTTACAGATTACCTGATATGTTGATAAACGAACGTACCCCGATGTGATCATACTAGTCTTTACTGGCGGTAACGGTTTCTTTACCGAAAACCTATTCTAGCTCGGCTTCAGAGCGAATTACATAGGTGCGCTTTCCGTCAGCTTCCTTAGTCAGTACTCTGCCCCGACTCGTCCAGGTGAACTTCCAGCCCAGACTGGCAGCCGCCGCTGGCAACAGGTGTTTGTTTGTTCTGGTGAGTCTCTCGTTGAGATAAAAGCGTCGCGACGGCGCATCTATGCCGAGGTCGGCTGAAGTGGCACCACGCCTAACGCGCGCGCTCCGCAGAAGCTCTTCCCGCAGCCCGCGCCGCGCCAGCCGCACCACGATGCGCCGACACCGCGCCGCGCCCGCCGACTCGCCTGACTCACGTGACCGCGCCACACGGGGGCCCACGCGCTCTGCGAACACTATATCCCGGGGCTCCAAGGTGACACCTAGTTTCTTCGCTACCAGTTCCACGGAGTGAAACACATTCTCACCGGGACTCTCAGGGAGGTTCGAGATCTCGATGTCAGAGAGCAGCAGTTCCTGCTCTCGTTCACCGAGCTCTGTTTGCAGCTGCTTCACCGTGTGCTCCAACTGGTCCACCGCAACCTCGGGGGAGGTCGCCTGCTTCCTCTCGAGGTCATCCAGACGTGACTCCAGGTGATCGACCTTTTTTTTGTAGGTAGCCACAGTCTGACGCAGGTCAGCCATCTCGAGGCGGAGCTCCCGCAGCTCGGTTCTAATATCTTCCCTCATTTCCTTCATCTCTGCTCTCATCAGCTTTATTTCGTAGGCAATATCAGCACCATGATCTTGATCTTTACTGGCGGAGCCACCGGTAGATTGAGATGAGTCATAGGAACTAGTGGGGGAACTCTCATTCTTCTCATTGCGTGTTTCCTTTGCCGAGCTCGGCTGATTGCGGTCCTTGGGGATATTATTTTTGCAGTCTTGGCACTGCCATTCCCTGCTGACCCTCGTAACATCCGGCAAGCGCAAACAAGGCAGGTGATACTTTTTATTGCATCTGCAACATACAGCGACACCTTTTGACGAGGTAAATTTACCACATGCTGCGCAGTTTGCCATTTTATTGATATGTAGCAGATAGTTATAATAATAGGTTTAGGTATTTTTTTTTATGGGAGGGGGCAAACGAGAAGATGGGTCACCCGATGGAAGTCTACAAGATGAATTAAACACTCGTCCGTATCGAAGTGTCGCAATTAGTTCTGCTATCGATCAACAGATGGCGTTGTTGTCAGTATCAGTTTAAGGCTTTATTTTAGGCTGTATTACGCAATTTTTCCATTGCATTACCATTTCATTCCACACGCGGCGAGGGAGATTGAAGTAGTTCTGGGAGCGACAGAGTTGCTTTTTCACTAATTTAGCACTTTTATTTTGTAGATTAGGGTAGATATTAATCACTGTTCTGATTCGTATTTTATATTTAATTTTATTTAAGAGTACACAACACTTTAGGACTTGCAAACACTGCACAGTAATGCTTAGGACACAATTAATATTGTGAGCAAATAAATTATTTAAATAAGAGGAGTTTATTATTCTTAAATTGAAACATAAACAGAACGCTACGAATCACTACTACCGACGTCGAATCCCTTTATTTTCCATTATCTCTCCCATTTAGTAGTCTCTCCTTGAATCCAAGCCAGGACTACTTTGGAGTCACACCACGCCCATACAGTAATGTTGTGCTCCTTCAAGCTTTCTTGGATCTTTGAGATCAGCTGAGCAAGTAGGAGTGCCCCACATAACTCCAATCTGGGTAAAGTTATTTTTTGCGATAGAGGTGCGACTCTAGTTTTTGCGGTTAATAAGGTTATGCTATACTGTCCCTCCTCATTTTTTGCGCGTAAATATATGACGCATGCGTAAGCTTTCTCGTTTGCGTCGCAAAATCCAAGTAGTTCCACGTTCATTTCGGTACTTCCAATCCACCTATTTATTTTAATTGTTTTCAAAAGTGAGAGTTCAGCTTTTAATTTTAACCAGCTACTTTGTATCTCTTCAGGTAACGGTTCATCCCAACTTATTTTTTCTTTCCATATTTGTTGGAACATAAGCTTAGTAGTTACAGTTAGGGGCGAAAACCACCCTAGTGGATCGATGATGGAGAGTTGTGATATCTGGGATAGAAGAAATCGTTTAGTGATAGTTTTATCTGCGTTTTCAAAATTCCACGTGAACGTGAACATGTCCGAGTTAGGGTTCCATCCGAGCCCAAGGGTTTTCTTCGTATCTTCATGCTTAAAGTCATACCTGGATTGAGTGATTTGATCTTGATTTAAGTGTTGTAATAACTCCTGAGTATTACTCGACCATTTACGTAGGTTCATACCTCCTCCTTTAAGCAGCGCGATAAGTTCAGTTTGTAATTGTTTTGCGAGTAAGGCGTACGCGTGAGACGCGTTAAAAACACCCTTAGTTTAGTAGTAGTAGAGCTCTCTCGTAGGACTCCGTGGTGGGGGAGATAACATTTTGGTGACCTGTTTTTGTTGAAAGATATGGGTCGTGGTATTATTTTCATATGTTGTAGTTCACAGTATTCGTTTGTAAAATCTTTGTACATATGGGACAACCTTTCGTTTCTTTCTAAACGTTTTTCCAGCTGTAAAAATTGTGAAGTAGCTATTGGTCGGGATTTTCCAAGTCTTTCTTCGAAATTGTCTATCATTGGCATCTGGACAACGAATTTACCATCAGAGGTTCATCTGGTAGTTTTTTGGTACAAGACCTCACGCTCATCCTCTTGGTTGACATCTTCGGGTCCTTGACATATGTCCTCAGATTCCCAGTACTTTGATATTTCCGATAAGTCTACGATTGATACGTGACAATTAACGGTTTTGAGCTTCCCACATAAAATCCATCCCAGTTTAGTGTGCTGGGCGATGGGTGCGTGGCTGTCGCTCTTGAAAACTCCATCAAGTATGATGTCGGCATACACATCAGCTCCCAATAGCAAGTCGATTGAGCTTGAGATATTATACTCATTGTCTGCAAGTTTCAAGTTTTCAATGTGTGTCCAGTTCATTTTCTTGAAAGTTTGTGTTGGTAAGTTATTAGTGAGGAGATTTAATATTAAAGTATCAATAGTAAATGTAAAGTCCGAATGTATAGACCGACAAGTTAGGCTCATGCGTCCTTTGCTATCCCGTGTAGTTGACCCTCATCATCAATCATCAACAGCCTTTAATAGTCCACTGCTGGACATAGGCCTCCCCTTAGAAGGAGGTTTTGGCCTACTATACCACGCTGGCCAGACGGGTTGGTATAGGGTTTGTTTTAAGTTTTCCTTCTCTCTGCAGTGTTGTTGTCCTGCGTAGTTTTCTCCCTTAGTCGCCTCTTACGACACCCACGGGATGAATAGGGGTGGTGACACTCTGTATTCTTAATCCGTCACCACACGGACAAGTTGACCCTATACCAGTTATAATTGCGTTGTGCTTGGTGAGTGGTTGTCGCAGTCGCTGGGCAGCTTCCTCCGTAATCAAATTGGTTTGTGAGCCTTGATCTAGTAAGGCTCTAAGTGTTATATAAGTTCCATCAATGGTTTGGACTTTGATTTGCACCGTAGTCCGTAAAACTTCTATGTCGGCCGAGAGATGATGGGAATTTTGTTGCTTAGAAGTTGACGGTCTCTGTTCAATATTGTTTTTTGAGGTCAGTTCATTAATGTGCAATAATGTATGATGTTTTAAATGGCATATTTGCATTTTTTTTGTGACGTACAACTAGCGTTTCCGTGGCTGTATAAACAATTTTTGCATATGTTAAGTTTCGCAACTAGGTTGTTACGCTGTACAGTGTCTTTCGCAATAAATCTATCGCATTGCATCAATACGTGATCTTTTTTACATTTTCCCAAGGAAGTGTGAAATATTTTTGAATGGTCTCTATTGCTTTTTAATAAGGTTGATTTTTGATTGTTGTTCGCATAGTTGAACGTTTTCATAGGAATATTTCTATGATAAGTCTTCTGAATATTTCTGTTAAAAGTAGAAGTTGAATTTTGTTTTTGGAAGTTAGAAGATTCCTTTTGGCATTTCTTCACAGTCTCTAAAGCAATAAATTTGTTTTCTAAAAATGACAGAAATTCGCTTATATCCGGTAAATCCCTATTATCCTTCAAGTCTTGGGTATATTCCTTGAAAGTTGCAGTATCGAGTTTTTGAGACATATAGTGAACAATGATAGGTCCCCAGTTAGAGACATCAAACATGGGAATGTTTGATAGTCCGTTTTGACTTTCGCTGATAACATCGTGTAATCTTTTTCAATTGTAGCTATTCGGATATTGTATTACTGGTATTTGCTGCATAGTGTTCATTAAATAACTAAATTGAAGCCGGCGATTGTCGTATCGATGTGCTAGTATTTTCCAACATGAGATATAATTTTCCGCGCTGATGGTAAGATGCTGTACCAAGCGTTCAAGCTCGCCCTTTAGTTTCGTTTTCAAATATTGCATTTTTTGGCAGTTTGATATAGCAGGATTGTTGTGGACAGTTTCCGTAAATATATCCTTGAATGATAACCATTGAATGTAATCCCCAGAGAATTCGGGTATTTGTATTTTGGGAGCCGAACGTTGATAATGGATGTTGGACCAGTTTTTGCTGTTTAAAAGTCTTCTTAAGTTGTCATATTTTTGTTCCAGGTCTTCGAACCTACTCTCGTAATTCGTCTTTAAGCTTGAGCCTTTCAAAGCCGTTTCCAGTTGCCAGTGAAGTTTGTCGACAGCTTCCCATTTAGATTTCAAAATAGACAAGTGATCTTCGAATTCCCATTTCTCTTTCATAACTTCAATGTCGACTTTTGACATTGCTCTAGCCAATGCCTTAAAGTTCGCCTCCTGTGTGCTCAATAGGTCTTTAAGTTTGTCATCCGTCTCTTCTACAATCATCCCTGTTAGGTCTAATTCTAGTTTCGTAGGCTGCCTCTGAGCAACCAACATTTTCGTCATGTTTTGCTTTGTAGCGTCATGTAACTGCTTCGTTTTTCCATATATGTCGCTGGTAAAGTAATTTATGCTGCTTTTATCTTCAATTTTTTCTACAAGTACTTCGTGTCGTTCATGAAATGTTACCCATTCCCTTTCTAGTTTAGAGATACGATTTTCCAGATAGTCGACAGTTTTTCTGGTGGCGCTATCCTTCCTGTAGTTACTGCATCTAGTTTTGATATTTTCAAAGTTAGTTACTTGCTCTTTTATTAGTTCCATGTTTAAAAAACGGTTACGGTAAGTTAAGTTTGTCTAGTTCAGTTATTTTTGTTTAATCGGTGTAATGCGGCTTAGTTAAATTAAAGTACGTTTACCTGTAATAGTTCCCAGTGAATGTAGTAGCGATAAGTTGCAGAAGTAGAAGTTGCCACAAAAATATTGAGTTGTAATATAGTTATTTACTGAACCTGAACTGCAATTAGTTAATCACAATTCTGTTTTGTCCCACACGCGTAGTACGGGTTTATCCCGGTAGTTGTAGAAGTAGTAAAATTGTAGTAGTTGTAATGTAGTAGTTTGTTGTTTTTGTAGTAAATTTTGCTGCTAGCCGTAGTAGTGACGCGGCGATGTATTCAAAGTTAAAGTCGCCTGATATTTAGTACACCACCTCCCTTAGGATATGTGCGACTTCTCGATTTGACTGGTGAGATCCGCTTGTGGAAGGCCAGACAAACCGATTCGTTATCGTAAGCGGTGTAGTGAGTTACTAAATACCTGGTTACTATCCTCGAAGGACCATAATGTACAGTGACATTAGATAGCTGTTGGAGCAGTGGAAGTTTGGACGTTGTAGGTGATGTTCAGATGAAATAAGAGTATGTTATAGTTAACGTAAAACCCGATTTATTTCCACTGAGATAAGTATTACAGATTTACCTAATCAGCGATTTTATACTCCTACGCGTCGTGTGTTTAGTCCAGCGATCGATATTGCACACACGCTATAAAACGTGTATTATTCTATATATACTTTGTAAAGTGTGGGGTCATCAAATCATGTACGAGCTCGTACATATCTATTGTTGGTAGTATTTATTTCTTAATTATGCTAGCTTCTTTTAATTCTTCAATTATAGACAATATTTCATTATCATGATTTATATTGCCAGCATCTCTTGAAGCCACTAACAACTTTAATCTCTCAACCAATTCATTGGGATCGTCCCAGTATACTAAGTCAGTATTGTTTTTATATTTTTTTTGTTTTGGCAAGTTTCCTCCAAGCTTAGTTTCAACTTTACTGTCTAATGTTTCAGCAAATAATGGTTTAATTATTTCACGATATTTTATTCCTTTGCCACCTCTTATTTGTACCTTAGGACTAAAATTTCTTTTATGTGCATTTGTGTAATGCAACATATCTTTACAGACAAGCTTATCTTCGTTCGATATCAAATTTAAATCAGGTTTTCTCCTGAGTAAAAGTTCTTTTAAACCTGCTGTCAACTTGTAAGCTTTGTCACCGATTTTAACTAAAATGACATTGTCGTTATTTAAACTATCAGTTTTAGAAAATGAAACCGCTGAATTACCCATCAATAAAATCTTCTTTTTACTTCTAATACCGAACGGTATGTTGATTTCTTCATAAATACCGCAGATATCATCACCCTTTAAAGACATTTCTAAATCATCGGTCAACTTCTTTTTAGGAGTGTCAATGAATTGAGCAGAATTCAGATCTGGATTGTAAGAATCTTCAAAATTTGTAGATGTGCTTGTGTTAATATCATCAGATTCGATGTCTTCAGAATTAGCGAGTGTTTTATTTTCAACATTTTTAATTTTTTCCCAAGTTATATTCGAATCGACTAAGGTCTTAAGAGGATCTGTTACAGGTTTTAGCACTTTATCGAGTGACAAGTTCATCGAGTGTTCCTGGTGCTTCATTTGTTTTATTTTATTCTTTATAGAGTTAACCGACTTTATGAATTCTATTTTAATATTTTGCTGCATGTTAAATTATAACAACTGTATTCAGCTAAAGAAGCAATAATACTAAATTTGTTTTTGCATAGTTATTACTTATATTTGTACATTTTGACTCAAAATTTAAAAAAGATATCAAAATTTTGTCTGTACCTTCCACTATTTAGGTAATGTTGATTCTTTGTTAATAAGTAGAAAATTATAAGGGCTACTCCAAATAGTCTTGCAAATATTTTTGAACTGATTCCATTGTAGATCAGAACTAGCATGTTCTTCATAAATGTGTTTTAAATTCACATCATCTTGTTTAAAAATTATAAGAACATTAACATTGTCACGTAACAATTGTTTCGGAATTTTAGAATAGGTTTGAGATAAATAAAAACAATCGATTTGTTTATGTCTGCCCATACAAAAATAATTGCGGATATTAACTTGATTTTCGCATGCAACATCATCGAAAATAAATACAGAATTTCCTAAAGCTTCACTCGGAGATATGACCTCTTTATCATCGTTAAATTCGTAGAAGTTAATCTGTGATACCCTTCTTAATACTTCACTCAGGAAACGATAATTTGGTTGGAAAGAAGTTTTGGAATAGAGATAAAGATTTTTTAATTTTAGACCATTTTCATGTAACAATAAACTAATCATAACGTTTGTTTTACCACAGTTCGATGGGCCGCATATCATCGGCCTCCGCATCGTATCGTATTCGGTAATAAAGGACTATGTCTGATTTGGTGAGAAGATTCATTAAAATCTATATTGTTAACTTTCAGAGAAATGGGTTGCTTGATCAACTTCATTTTGACAATTGCTGTAATGGGTGTCTAACACACATATTTATAGTTAATTATACTTTTAACACTACAATAGGTACATATTTTATATAAAACAGAAATACAGCATTCAACATGTTAGTACAGGTCTAGAAAGTTAAGAATTTTGTATTCTCGTATTACAATATTATACTTTTAATAATTGATGTCATTAGATTTCGAATATCAGACAGATTTCATATTGCATTTCTTATTTAATTATGCTGTCATAGTCAGTCGAAACAGGACCTGTTTCTAGAAATAGAAATCAAGTTTATTGGTTAGTTTTTAATGTTATGAGTTATCACAATATTTTTCATGTGAAAAAATTAGATATCTTACTTTAGCTTTATTTTCATATAGCCCCAGCATTCTCGACATTGGAGAACTTATCAGATATGTATTTGATGACGTTGATAAAAATGAAAAGTTACTAAATACATCATCAAATAAACAAGCTCAAACCAAGAAAAAGTTGAAAAGAAAGAGGGATTGTTCATTAAGATCTTCATCATCGACATGTTCGACAAGACAGAAGTGGTGCTAGAGGACGATATGTTACTAAAATTAACATCCATGAACTCCCAGACTGTGGCCGTGATTGTAGTGACAGTGATGATGCAAGTGTGCAATAGATTGTGTACGAACCTTTTGATGAAGTGATGGATGCTACTCAAGCTCTTGTGAGAAAAATTTGTAATAAGTTAGAGTAACATATTTATAAGTTTTAGGAAAGGTGTTTAGTTCAACGATGATATTGTTTTGATATACCTATTAAACTCTTATATGCTAATAGAAATTTCTTTTTTAAGTTTTATTTTAATCTGAACTGTAATATGTAACTGTTAGCTTTACTCGTAATTTAAGTCCAAGTAAATATGTTGTTGGTTCGCCTTATTATATATAAGATAAATAAACAATAAATTAGTTATATCTGTTTTTTATTTCTAGGTATAAACCTACATAAATACAATGATATCTTAATTGATATATGTAAGTTTATTTCATCTCAGAAATACGAGGAGGAGGAAATACTCAGAGATACTCAGAATTGACGACTGGATGGCGTAGTGGTTTGTGTAACGGACTGCTATTTCAAAGGTCGCGGGTTCGATTCCCGCTCAAGTCAAATATTTGTGATTTGTGTGCATGAACATTTGATGTTTGATTTGGTCTGGGTGTTTCTATGTATAATATGTATGTATTTACAAAAAAAAAAGTATATATGTATTTATATCAGTTGTCTAGTACCCATAGTACAAGCTCTGCTTAGTTTGGGACTAGATGGCGTTGTGTGTATGTGGTAGAATATATTATTATATATTATATATTAATATATTATATATTATATTATATATTATATATATTAATACTATTTTATTACATAGATACTTAATTACTAAGCTGAAATTAAATGTTTTATTAAAATAAATAATAATAATAATTCAACGGTTATGGGCTAAAATACAGTTTTATAATGTCCCCAAGGTAACGTTTTACAATTATCTTCTATTTGTCTTTTATCGTTGTTGACCACTGTCACCAGAGCTGTGGATAGCAAAACAGAACGGGTAGAGTTTTCTGGAGTATTACCTGACAAAGCGACGCTTTCAGACGTGCTGTTTTGAAAATGAGCACTTCCAGTAACGCCAGTAGTTAAGTTAGGCAAAGCAGTACTAGGCATAGGATCTTGAAAGTTGGCTGAGTCAGATTGGTCTAAATGTATAAGAGTATTATGTCTACGTCTACAATATTTAATATTCGACAATTTACACTGTTTACTAGAATGGCCAGGACGTAAACAAGCGATTTTCTACTGTTAACTTACGAAAATCTTCACAAACAAACATAAAAAGGTCATATAAATTGGGGCAAGATACAGGCGCAATAGGCGCCACCTAATCAAATGTGAACCTGATGAAATTTTTTATCAGGATAGTTGTTCAATGTTCCTGCGGTGTGTTAAGAATCTTGTATGGATCTGCGTCAATTTGTTAACACTATAAATAAAAACATTAGAGCACTAAAAACATTGAACGAACCCACCGAATATTGGGATATAATTTTGCTATACATGTTGACTAAGAAAATAGATACAATCACTAACAGGGATTGGCAGCTTACCTAAAGTACCCACTTTGTCACAATTTTGTTTATTTGTTAGTGTTGTAATATAATATTAATTTGAGGGTAGGTATAAGTTCCTATACAATAAACCAGTTGTTGTCCCGCACTCGGTCGTTTCATTGTAAACATAACAGTTAGTAAGAGGGCTGATTGGTTAGAAACGGTTTAACGTAGTACACAATCAATTCAAAAGGTAGTGTAGAAGTTACGTTAGATAATGATACGGCTGTTTAACTAATGAAATAAATTTATTATACGGACCACAGGTAAGAAAATATAAAGGAGCGAGGGAGCACACGCGATGACCGCTAATCGTGTACTGAAGGTGTAATTATGATTTATAAGTAAAGTAAGCAAATTGCTGAGGTAACATTATTGTTCGGTGTCACCGTACATGCTCCCGGGCCAAAAAGATACAGAGATAAAGTCACACATCTTCGATTTTAAAGTTACACTTTTTGACAATAGGGGACGTAGCTTTATCCCGTTTACCAACAGTGTTCGCACTTATAATCACTTCACTAGGCTGACGGTCAGCCGTGCTCTGCTTTCGCGAATACACTACACTATTGGCAACACTATTTGACACTTCCACTGAAGATGCTGCACGTCTCCTTACGTTTCACAAGTTGTATATCGGACTTGTACTGTTCGGCGAATCGTTCATCTAATACTCCGAACAGGCTGTTGGCTACGTAACCGATACCGTTGATAAGCCCGCGACGACGCCGTCTAGCGTGCTCCCGAGCATCAAAATGCTGATTTAGCATGAGTCGATTATAGTGTAGGAGTTCTTTATAGTTATGATTTAATTGAAGTGTAATTAGACTACAACGACTTTTATCGCTCAGGGATGAACAGATTTGATTTAAATAATCTAAAATTTTTGTCGTTGCAATATTCCCTTCCCAGTATGGACCCATGTCGTAATAAACGATTAGAAGCCATTTGTCCTGAATAACTTTCATATTACCTATTGGCTCGAAATATAATGAATTATTGCTAGGTAATACTGAAATATTAAACGCTGCGTGAGATGATGTCAACAGTGAAATAAAAAACATTAAAGACATCGCTATAGAAGCCAGTTTAGGCATAGTTCTTGTGCGATTACTCTGAATAGGCTCTTCCAAACATGTCGTATTTTCTTGACTAGTATTTTCATTTTTCGTGTCACCAGACTCAGACGATAAAGGTAGTATGGAGAGTTTAACAATGGGCCTTTTGATAATTCCGCTTTTCGTTTTTAACGTCACTACTCTCACTAATCCATCTTGACCGGGATGAACCTCTACTACTCTACCTAACATCCACCTTCCAGGTGGCAAATTATCTTCTTGAATAGTCACTAAATCGCCAATTTTAATATTCTGCTCAGTGTTTCGCCACTTGCTTCTTACAGATAATTGTGTTAGATATTCTGATCTCCATTTCTTCCATATGTCATTTACTAATTTAGCTGATAGCGCCCATCTAGTTCGCGCATTTTCTTGGGTTTCGATTATACCGGTTCCACATCTTCCTATTAAAAAATGGGCAGGTGTAAGTATATTTAAGTCTTCAATATCCTCTGATAGGGGGCATAAAGGTCTGGAGTTCAAACAAGTCTCAAGTTGAGCTAAAAGAGTGCTGAATTCCTCAAAGGTCAAGTGCTGTTCTCCTATAACTCGTTTAAGGTGGTGTTTTAAACTTCGAACAGCTCTTTCCCACAATCCACCAGCGCTTGGCCAAGAGGGGGCATTAAAATGCCATTCTACATTTAAATCAGTTAATTCAGCAAAAAAGCTGTCGTTGTATAGATATTTTAGATCATAATAGCTTTCCTGTAACATTCTATTTGCTCCCACAAAGTTTGTTCCGTTATCACTATACAGATGTCTAGGCGCTCCTCTTCTAGCTGCCATTCTACGTAATGCTGCTAAAAATCCTGAACTGCTCAAGTCGGATACAAGCTCCAAGTGTATAGCCTTGGTCGCCATACAAATAAATAACGCTATATATCCTTTAGTCGTCTTGATTCCCCGCCCTTTATTACTTTTGACGTTTACGAAGCCTGTGTAATCCAGGCCCGTGTGA